TGTGTGTGTAGTGTGTGTGTAAGTTATCTGTTTGGCTATCTTTCTTGGACAGGAGACAGACACAGTTGGCAGTATGCAGGTCTTGGGATTGCTAATTGGCCCTGGGTAACTATTTGTTGCAGGAAGCTCTCATCAACTCGAACTAATGGATGCACTGCTGCAACTAACGTCTCAGCTGGATCATGAATGTCATCTCCCAGTTGCAGATGACGCGGTAACGTGCTTGGTCGATGAGAAGCCTGCAAGTGGAAGGCAGAAAGAAGTATAAGCTTGATCTGAGATTAAGGAGTTGTGCTACACAGGGTGGATTTGAGGGTAGATAGAATTTTGTTTTCTCGAATTGTTATCTTGCGTGATGAAGCACACCACATGCATAGGTCGCACGAAATGTTCGACAGACGGAATGCAAGTGCGCCAATCGGAGTGTAGCATCACAGTTATTGGAATTTGCACTTTCAATATCTGAGTATCCTCATTCTTATCCCTCGATTCCTGCCTCTCTCTCTCTCTCTCTCTCTCTCTCTCTCTCTCTCTCTCTCTCTCCTGTCTCTTATACACATCTAGATGTGTATAAGAGACAGCCCTTCCTCTCCTCCCTTCCTCCCTTCCTCCCTTCCTCCCTTCCTTCCTCCCTCCCTCCCTTCTTACTTCCTTCCCTCCCTCCCTTCTTACTTCCTTCCCTCCCTCCCTTCTTACTTCCTTCCCTCCTTCCTTGCTTCCCTCTCTGTGTCCCACCCTTTCTCCTTCTCACACTCTTTCCTTCCCTCCCTCGATCTGGTCTTTCCTTCCTCCCTCACTCCGGCCCTCCCTCCCTTCCTCCCCCCCCCTCCCTCCTACCTTGCTTTCCCTCCGTCACTGCCTCCATCCTTCCTGTCTCGCTCTGTATCCTTCCTCCTTCCTTTCTTCCTTCTGTCTGTACTTTGCTCCTACCCTATTTGCCTCTCCTCTCTCCTTCCTTTTTTCCTTTGTGATTTGTTTCGCCTCTCCCTGCCTCCCTTTGCCAATCCCTCCTTTCCTGCTTCCCACCTTCCTCCCTCCCTCCCTCCTACCGTGCTTTCCCTCCTTCCCTCTATCACTTCCTCCGTCCTTCCCGTCTTGCTCTGTGTACTTGCCTCCTTCATTTCTTCCTTCCCTCTCTTCTTCCCTCCTCTCATACTTGCCTGCCTTCTCTCCTCTCTCCCGTCCTTCTTTCATTCCTTCTTCGTTGATTCTGCCCCTCCCTCTTTCAGCTCTGATGTTATACTATCTACGACAGTATGACAACGACATCTTCATTCCTTCTGCCCCTCCCAGCCTCCCTTTGCCCCCCCCTTCTGTCCTCCCTCCCTTCCTCTCCTTTCCTCCCTCCCTCTCCTTTCCTCCCTCCACTCCTCCCTCCGTCCCTCCCCTCCCCTCTTTGATCGACTTCTCCATCCCCTCTCCACGAATATCCTTGCCTTTGTCTCTGGTGTTATCATAGATATCATTTTCATACTGTTGCTGCCACTGTCATTTTAAACTGCCACCCTTGTCGTTTGATGATTAACATCGCCACCACCATCATTATCATCCGGACATCTTAACTGCCGCCATGATTCTGATGGTGATTATAATGATGGCATTGCACTCGAGATACTTTACAGTCTGCAACGGGCATTGGCCGAACATGTTTCGATCCCTTCAGGGCTCAACTGTCACCGTTGACCCCTTTGTCTTTTCAGCTCCCAGAGGTACTTAGTACTTACTATTCCTCATTGCTGTGGTCTACGGCAAACAACTGCCGTTGTGATGAGCAGATTGTGTGTGGTTTTGAGCATTAGCTTCCGCCCCTCGGTGGTGCTCCCTTTTGGATACGTGGACTCGTCTGCAATCCAATCCAATCCAATCCAATCCAATCCAATCCAGTCCAATCCAATCCACCTCCTAGAACCCAGCCTCGAGTATTTTGTTGAATTCTTCTTCAGTGAAGTTCAACTTCTTAGCAGCCTCCATATGAATTTTTTGCTTCTTTAGAATATCAACAAGCCTCAGGGCCTTCTTGAAAGCACTGAGAATCTCCGCCTTGTGTTTTTCGAGTTTCTTTTTTTCCGCCAGGACACGATCGTACTCTTTCCTCGAGACATCCTTATTGCTGTCGCGCTCACTGGCCTTGACATGGTCGACCGTCTTCTTGTACTTCTCAACCTCATCAAGAGCTCTGTTCAGCCGCAGGTCACGGGCTCGAATCTCACCTTCTGTCTTGCTTGTGACCCTCTGCAGTTTCTCCAGCTCCTTCTTGGCCTCCGCCATGGCCACGTCACCCACTTCGACCTTTGCTTGAAGCTCACAAAGAGCCTTCTTTTGCTTCTGGATCTGGGTTTCCATCAGCTTCTGCTGCCTCTGCCAAGCGGTCTTCTCCACAAGCACTCCTTTCAGCTCCCGTTCCACATCCATCAGCTTCTTCTGCTTTGCCGCTAGCTCTTGATGAAGGTCTCGACACTCGTCCTCTAACGTCTGGAGGCGAGAACGATGCACCCATGGACTTGTGTCGGTTATCTGACTCCCTAGCTCTAGGGAACTGGGAGAGTTAGCTTGCGCAACATCCCTTCCTTCCTCTCCTGCCCCTGCCCCTACCCTTTCTGGGTAGGAATTGGGCTTATTAATGCTCCCCTTTTTCCGGCCGCTTCCCGCTTTTGACACTGCCGCTTGTTTCTCAATCCGTGATCGATAAGTGCCCAGCTCAACAAACTTGAAGGGCTCCTCTTCTTCATCTTGACTTGGTGAATTCGTGACTGTTGCGTCATCCTCAGAGTCTTTAATGGGATCCAGACAGTTGGCAGGACCGGGGGACCTGACATCCAGAGCAGCCATGTTGGGAAGTCCTTGCATCCTCTCATGATGTGACTTCAGTGCAGCATCTGCTGCAGCCAGGGCTTCTTGTGTTTTTGCTTCTAACTCTGCATTCCGCCGTTTAATGAGCTCCTCTCTCAGAGGGGCGCTCATCTCTCTCTCTCTCTCTCTCTCTCTCTCTCTCTCTCTCTCTCTCTCTCTCTCTCTCTCTCTCTC